AGTGTGAATTGGCATGTTGAAAATGACTCACTGAATATCCCAGGAGACTTTCTATGGAGGCTCCTTGCTTCTGCTGACAGCTGATGTGATAGAAGGTGAACAGGAGGTGGTGGTTTACTGTGAGCTTAGCAGGGAGCTTAATTTTCACTTCTTCATAGAAGTCTGGAGACCTGTTTCAAAAGCACATTATACACACAACGTTTAGCAAGAATGATGACTTCTCTGACTGTAAATTGTAATGCAATGGACCCTTCACTCCTCAGAATTTGTCTGCTTGGTGTTTTGCTTTTCATTTCACATCATTCTGCTCCTAAGCTGGAAGTCCTTGGGACCAAGCTTATGTCACTAGATACACTTCACTTACGTAACAGCATTCAGAAACTAAAGACTTTGGGGTGGGGGATTTCCACGCACAATGGAAAAAATCCAACAACTTAATTTGAAAAGGGGATGAGGTTCAGCGTCCTTCTGTGACTTTTTCTATTTCTACCCCAAGAACAGAGGTAAGCGCACGAAAGGAGTTTGGAGAAACAAATGAATGATGTAGGAGGAAAAGGAACCTGATTTTACTGAATTACAAAGTCCTTCATAAGTTACCAAGGGCTTTATGTGCATTACCCATTTACTCCTCCCCAGGAGCATGGGTTCAGAGGAAAACTTAAATGGGCCAAGGTTACCAGGCCAGGATCAAACCCTAGTCTGCCTGACCCTGTACAGATTTCCCTCTTCTACCTGTAAAATGTAAATAATAATATAGACATTATTTTGGAACTCAATTTACCCACATAACAACAAGTGTTCCATTTTCCCTTTGGTCAACTTAAATTTTCTTAAATCTGATAGTGGTGCAGCTGTGGAGTGGTATATGGAAGACCAGGAGACAGAAAAACGAGAGCTGGATTCTGTTTCTGGCCCCTTCCAGTACTTCAAAGCAAGTTAAGAAATGTATTTCTTTACTTAAAACCATAAAACCTCTCTGTATCATACTAGAATACAAGGCTCCAGAAAAGTCAAAACAATATGAGGTTCTTGAGGATACGTTCTTCTCCCAGTCTCAGTTAATGGCAAAAATTGTACATCTCCAGCACAGAATCATGGAACTAGTGTGGATTTCTTCTGTCCCTAAGTCCCCAAGTGATAAAAAACCATTGGAAGGAATCACCTAGGGGATTCAGAGAAGCCAGCAGATAATGAAACAATCTTGCCATATATTTAGAACTCTGAAATATGCTTACTTATTATGGTATGTGACGGCTGTGTACACTTCCTGCAGAAATTCAGGCCCACTGGATTTTCCAAAGATGACCTGTTCACCAACATGGAAAGGACCAAATTAACAGTGATATTTGGGTATAGCAAATCAACCATCATCAGCCCGATAGGATGTTCTGTTCTCATACAACTACATTTCATAAATTAAGAGTGCTGAGTTCTAAAACTAGCCCAACCACACAGATGCAAAAGAACTGGCTACAAAGGGCAAAGTGAGGCCCCAAGGGGCTGTATTAGTGACCAAGGGCCACAGTTTTGAGAGACTGGAAAACCAGTGCTCTGTCCACTCTGGCTCACTGCATAGAGGTCTATACTTTTAGGTGAAGTCACGTGGTTTTACCTTCAGTTAAGGATCCCTGGTTGTGGCATTTTCCCCTCCAAAGACATGGGCCTGGTCACTGGGGTGATCAGGACCTTCACTGTCCACATGTTTGGAATATTTAGAAAAAGACACCTCTTGGGCCTGATTCAGCCCTAACAGTATATGATTTAACAAGTGGACTCACCTTTGGGCAAAGAAAAAAGTGCCCTTTCTACTAGATGCAGTAATCCCTACGCTGGGTCCCAGGGCTTGGTGAGCAGAGAACAGTTTGGCCCCCACTCATCCCTGGCTGGGGCCTTGGCTACATTCAGGACCTGCACAGCTGTACCTGGCAGCTCTGGTGGGCTTGCCATGAGCCAGGGCAGAGAGAAGCGGGGGTGCCTTCCTCTGGGATTTCTTTCCCACCACTATTGCAAGAGAATACCTTGCACTGGGAAGGAAGCTGAGACATTAGCAGGATGCTTTGTTTTTTAAAAGGAGATATTTGAAAAATGGTAGCACTGAAAAAAATTATTTCAGTAGAAAGGTATAGTAACTGAATTCTATGACTTACAGAAAATGGTAACAGCTAACTACCCATCTCATTTGGGACAAATGGTTAAAAAAATACAAATTCTGGCATTTTGGGTTCCTTAGAGAACACTGCATTATATACTTATTACTTGATTTATATTTTGCCTCGGAATGAAGATCCAGTCCAAAAAGGCATTGAGATGGCATATATTTATTATTCCCAGGCATGCTTTACATCTCTCTCTGTGGACTGGGCTGTGGGCAGATGCAGGCTACAGTGCACATCCAGAAATGTGGCAAACACTGCGGATGCGCTGGGCCCGTCTCTGCTTTTCATGCTGTGAGGATGGCATGGACTTTATGATATTTTTCAGTCCTCTAATATAATCTGCATTCCCAAAGTCCATAGCTCCTCCTGGAATAAGTTAGGAAAGAGACTTTCAGCGCAGACTGACCCCGCTTCCCCATCAGCATGCTGGGACCAATACTGGGCTGGTCCAAAGGCCTCTGCACGTGCCGAGGGGTGCTGTCCTGAACAGGCGTACTCGGTACACCCCTGAGCCCCGCACTCTGTCCCCGTGGATGGACAGGCCAGCCCAGCACACCCTGCTTTGGGACAGATGTTTCTTTCCCTCTTTACCGGCATGGCGTTGCTCGGATCCTCTCCACACATGAACTGGATCTTTATTGTAATGTTCCGGGCGGATGCCAGCTTGTTGGTGAAGTTCAGCCTCTGAGGGTAGACATAGAGAAGGTTTCTGGAAAAGAGAAGACCGAGAACCAGTGAATAAGGCCTTGAGCTTATTTTAACCAATCATGAGGTGGTTTTTCTGGAGAATTTCCTTTAAGAAGTGAATAATTTTTGGAGGCGTGAGTGAGATGCCGTTGCTTCCTCCTCAGCTGCAGCCATCGGATAAGAGCCAACGGTGTTCTTTGTTTCATTACCTATAAAGATGCGTCTGCTGCAGCCGAGGGAGCCTTAATGTCTTGGGTACATTTCGAGTGTCTTTGGATATGCTCCCAGAAGTGGACCCGCGGGGTCCTCAATCTGCGCTTTTTCAGGAGCATCTCCCCAGCGTGGCGGGGAGAGCTCTGCGTGGGTTATCCGCCCATGGGCTCTGTAAGTTCTGGGCTGCGTCTTGAGAGCTTTGCTCACCTGGATGTGCTCAAGACCAGAGAAACTACATCCAAGCTCTGCAGTTCGGCATTACTCTCTGCATTTTTAGGCATGTGCAACAAAAATTCAGCACTCTTTTTGGGCCACTGAGCCCAGCGCCCAGGCCCACTCTTCGGCCTGGGCGCACCTACCAACTCTACCACTGTAACGACGGAACGGCACACATTGCTTCTGCAAAGTGACGGCCTTCAGACACTTGGTGGCTTTGTGGTTATGCATACCCTTGTGGCCTGGGCAGTTTCACGAGTGTTCTTAAAGTGAACATGAAGATTTTAACCTCTTGATTTGCATGATTTTGTGGGGTTTTCTGGGTCAAGTGAATAGGGAACCATTTTCAGAGGTCACCTCAGGCCTCTTATGGAAAGAGCAAACATTCCTAATACACATGATTTCAATGGATGCATGATCTCCCATATTATGAACATGCCTTAATTTACACTAGTCTCCAAAAATAAGCATTTAGATTATTTCCTTTTTTAGAATTATAAAGCTGTGATCAACCCTTTATATACATATGTATACATATATGTACTGCCCTTCTGCAATATAGTATACTCTGGGAAGAATCCCTTTTAGTTCTATATAGTTCTTCATCTTTCAATTAATTGAAAAGACACCACTCAACCTTTCTGCTGTGCCGGAAGAAATAATGAGCCAGAGTGTGTAAAACGCTTTGAAGTAGCTAGATGAAAGGGTCTGTGGAGATCACAACGGCAGTAGCCCTGCCAGACTGGCTAAGCAAGTTAGCTGTTACTAACACTCCACCACACACTTGTTTCACACATCCCCCAACGCTGCTTCCAAACGGGTTGCTGACCCCTATGTTCAAACAACATCACCGGGCATGCCTGGTACTGAATACACTTTCCACAGAGTACAGAGCTGAGGGAAACTTCGAGACAATTTAGTCCAACGTCCCTTTCTGCCTACTAGGAACTAACTCCCAGGGAGGTTAAATAACTGCCTAAACTCTTTTTTTAAGAAGATGCATTTCCCAAGGATCATATTTCTTAATGGCAAATATGCTAAGTGACATGTTCTGTTAAATCTGCATGCTTTTAAAGAAATGAATATTAATAATACTGTTTCCTGTTGGGAGGGAAGATCTGCCTGTATGGTCAATAATCCACAGAGCCTCAACCAGATAAGAGTAATTAGTAACAAACTGATAAACAGGATTGTATAGTTTATATATGGTAAATTAAGTGTCTCATATTAGCTAGAGAAAATCCTAAGAATTATGTTTAATGATTTTTGAGAGGATAATCCATAACCAAAATAGGAATCACTTGGTGTAGCACAATTATTTTGAAAGCTTCTTTAGTAAGGAGATGTCCAGTGTATGTGCAAGGCATTTAGCATAATCTCATCTTTCCCCAAGAAAAAGCGATCTTCTTCAGTCATATACATCACAACCAAGAACAGGACATTTGGTATTCATCAACAATGTTCTACCAAGAACTACTTCAGATGGCTTCTCTTGATTACAAACTGTTTTGGAAACTCCAAATTCTTTCCACTGATTCAGCAATAGCCTCTCAACTAATTTATAAACTGCTGCGATTTAGCAGCTCCAGGAAGTTAGAAGTTAACTTGTGGAATTTGGTGATTCTTTGACTAAACTGTTTCTGCTCTTTACTGTCTTCGGACTGTCTTCTATTTTCTTTGCTGGAAACAGGTTACCCCCAACGGACCATGAAATTTTTCAAAGCCACGATGCAAAAAACATCAGTTTGGCTTCTCCTCAGTTTAGCCTATTCTTTATCCAGTGCAAGGAAACAAAGAGAAAGACATGTCCCTGCCACTTATTCCCAAGATGACATCGATGTCCTCTCCCAGGGGCTTCTACAGCTTGGAGTGGAGCTCAAGATGCAAGTGAGCTACAGCAAAAGTCACATTGGCCACCTGTTTAAACAACTGGACACTCTGAACATCTCTTTGGTTGAGCTCCTAACTCAAGTCAGCCAGCAGGAGAGAAAGAAAGAGGACCTGGAGAGGAGAGCTGAGCAGCTCGACAAGAGGAATGAAGACCTCCAGCAGCTGGTTGCCGAGCTCCAGCATCAGCTGGTTGCAGGGATAAAGGACAGAGAGATATTCAATGAGAGGCTAAACTTGCTGGAGCAGAAGGTGGAGAGCGCTGTGTCCTTCAAGGCAGGTGGGTTTTCTCTGACAGAGGTGATGGACAACATCATGGTGAGTAGATCATTATTGAGAATTCCAGTTGACCATTATTTTACTGGAAATAAAATACTATTTTTGCCCGGCTGGGCGTGGCTCAGCGGTTAAGCATCAACCTAGGATCCAGGCGATCGGGGTTCGATTCCTGGTCAGGGCACATGCCTCGTTGCAGGCTTGATCAATGACTCTCTCCTCATTGAATGTTTCTATCTCTCTCTCCCTCTCCTTTCCTCTCTCTGAAGTCAATAAAGATATATTTTAAAAAAACAACTATTTTTAATACTATTATTACGATTTTTAATAGAAATGCTATCCTATTGGAAAATAGACCCCAAAGTAAGATTCATGAAGTGGGAGCTATTTCTGCTGTGAGAAAACCTGGTTAAGAAGAATGGTGGTGCAGATTAACCCTTTGTGGTGAAAATGCCTATTATCTTCCATTGCTGGTAATGGCAACCTAAACCGTTTTGAATCAAAATATATATATATTTATGTGACTCGCTTCCAAGAAGTGAGTGGAGGAACAATCAGTCATGTCATAAAGCAAAAAGCTAGCTTTCTATTATCTCAGAATATTTTCCTTACAGGGCCTTGGGATGCCCAGAGAGCCAAAGGATTACCTGTAGCTGCTCAAAGTCAAACAATCCTTGGTGCTCCTTATGTATCTCCTTGAAAGTGAGACTGAAGTGAGTTAAATGGCTTGTGCTCGTTGCATACTGTTGAGTGAAAATTCAGAATATAAAATTTTATCTATGACAGGGCTACACATATTCAAAAATTGAATATACATGAAGGGTTAGGACTAGAAGATGATATGGGGAAATGAGAAAAGTAGATTTGATTTTGAAATGAAATTGGTGTCAATTTTGGTTTTGTCTCTCTTATTTCAGTACAGAAGCTGTAACAAGGTACTAATATCAAATATATACTTAAAAAAAATTGCTGATTCTGTGGCCTGGGGTATCTCCACTGTCTTTTGAATATCGGTAATGCCCATAATTTAAGCTGCTGTTATACCAGGGAAGATGGGCTAATATGGAGACCTGTGTGATTGGTGGCCCTTACTAAATAAGATAATGGGTGGAACAGTCCTTTAAAAAATTTCAAAACGCTCTACAAATGTAAGGTGGACAAGTCAATTTCCTCACCTGTAATGAAAAGATGGGAGTTAAGTTTTAATTCAATGATACCTGACAAGTGCTTTGCTATAAACTGCAAAATATGACACCGGTGAAGATTATGTTCTTATCAGGATTGTGTAAAACAGCTGAGTGAATTTAAAATGCAACTCTCAACACGGCAGGACTATGAGATCTTAATGTATGTTACTTAGGGAATCATCAGTCTCTCTGGGGTTCTCTCTCCATCTTTCTTTCAGTCTCTTTCTGTCTCTGTCTCTGTCTCTCTATGTTTGTCTGTCTGCCTTTAATCTGTGTGTATCTCTCTGAGTCTCCCTTTTTCTCTAGCACACCCTCTCTCATCTCTCTCACAGCCCCTCAGAAAATGGCAAAACGCTCTTTCTGAGGGAACACTCTCTAGGTCCATCTAGTCACTAAAATCCATTTCCTTACAAGTGTGCAGGTGTTGAGGCTTTCCTGCTGAGCTGGGATGGGGTTGTGAAAAGGCCATATTTCTTTCAGGATGGTAAGCACAGAGCCTAACATCTGTGAACATTCTAGGATTCCACAAAGATGTCTGGGCATTCAGAAATAATTAGCTCTGAAATAGAGAAAGTACAAAGCTCAAAACCAAAATTAACGAATTTTAAATTAAATGCTTACCGAGTGCAACATGTTCTCAATTAGTCAACAACAACTCTACTGAATTTAACCTACAGGTGAAATTTTTTTTCCTCCTACTTTGTGGACTGTTATAAAGTTATACATAAAATACATGTAACAAATGAGAAAGTGGGTGCATCCTAATATGTTTTAAATGACGTGGTCAGGTGCTTTGGGGCTTAGGTGAGGTCTCAAATGTTCTTGGATATAGGTATCGGGTAGGGAAAAAGATAAAATACCAAGAAACCGGTTTTTCTATTAGTTTTCTTCTAGCTTGAGACTCAAGTGATGGTCTTATAGCCGACCACAAGCAATATATGTACTGGGTTGAAGTAGACAGGCTAGGAAGTTAGTGCTTGGCTCTCCTGCACTAACAACTGCTGAAACAGCTTTATGTAGAAAAAGCTCGCCAACCTATTCTGGCAATTTCAAAGTGATTTCTTTTCCTCCCCTTGTGTTTTAAAACTCTCCCTCTCTAGCCTTTTTTGCAAAGACAGAGCCAAAGAATTGATGAACTATTTGCTGAAGTGGAAATGCAGCAAAACCAACTGCATGGACGAGATGCCCTCATTAAAAAGCTACGGGAAAAGGTTGGTGCCTCTAACTCCTGTTAGTAATTTGTTAGCAGCAGACTTTGATTCCAACAGGATGAAATTCAAGTGCCTATTAGTATCACCAATATCTTATAGTTATCTAGTGTGTTTTTCTCAAGCATTGCACAGAAAATTGCAAATCAAGATATATTCTTTTAAGGTACTTTTTATGCAAGATGAGCAGCTCACTGCCAGGAAAATGTATTGTGAACATCATAATAAAAATAGCTAATATTATTTAATTTTTCCTATGTGTAGGCACTAATAGTATCTAATAGTACCTATGACAGGTACTACTATGAGACTCATTAGGTAGGTGATAAAACTGAGGCACAGAGAGGGTGCATAACTTCCACAAGGTAACACAGCCAGCACAGTGCAATTCAGATCTGGGTGCTTTGAAGCTAATACTAGACTCAGTGCCCATAACTGTTGCTATTTCTAAGAACAACAGTAAACAGTATCTATGGTCAACAATCAGACTCACCAGAACATTATAATGTGGTCTTTTATTGTATTATTTACAGGGGCTGAAGAATGTTTCCCCAAACAAACAAACAAAACATTTTTAGAAAAGGTTCAAAATAACATAATTAACTTAAAAAATGAGAATGACTATTGTCCCTCAGTGTTAGACAGAGCTTTTGATGTTTTAAATACATCAATAGCAAATGAAGTTAGAAATCTTAGGGCTCAAAATTTGACATATTTTAGAATTATCTAGGAAACCTGCAAACCAAACGTGGCTATATATTTTAAGTGGGAGCATGCATTGTAAATGGCACTTATGCAGAGCTAAGACTTTGCTCCTAAAAGACCCGTCCAGGGAGGAGCAGCATCGGCATCAGAATCACCTGGGGGCTATTAGGATGCACCACTGACCTGCTGAATCAGAACTTCATTTCACAGCACCCCAGTTGATTCAAATGCACATTCAAGTGTGAGAAGCACAGATCCAGGAGAAAGGGTCTGTTTTTCATTTGGTGGACACATGAATCTTGTAGTTTATTGTGTTTCCTTTTGTTTGTTTGGCTGCTAGGAAGCTCAAAGTCAAATTTGCAACTGACTTTTTAAGGAACTGTCAAGGTCCTTAAGATATATTCTGTGTATTAACCTTATCCAGGTTTAGACTGATTTTCCTTTAAGCCAGAAATTTTACACCTTGTTTTACAGTCTCCATAAGTGGCCTCAGATACCTTTTAGAATGGGAAGCTTTACAAATAAATGCATAAACATAAAACATTTGCCATCTCCTGTCTTGTCATTCCATGGTCTAATACCATGACTTGTGTTTATTCCTATTTCTAATACTTTAGGTTAAATCAAAGCACAGATTCACAAAGGAATCCGTGAAAAACAGAAATGGAAAGAAAAGCCCTGATGTGTAGGGTGAAGAGAATGTCCCATCTTCAGAGATCAGAGCAAGAAAGACGGTGCATGAATCCTATGCCAGGGCATAAGTCCGAGTCCACAGCAGGCTGCCTGCCCTGCGAAATGGCACAAGATTAGGAGGCCCTGGGGGTGTTGTCGCAGGCAGCTACTTGCCCCTTAGTAACCTCGGTGCTCCGTGGGCTGGGCTGCAATGCTTTGTGTAAATGCTGGCACTGTATTCTGAACATTGGGGACCTCTAACCCCACCCCCACAAAAAGCAAATGCAGTTAAGTAGCCAGAGACAAAATGTTACAGTAAATGACCCAATATTCTCTCTCTCTAGTCATGTTATGTTTAAAAATAATGCACTCTAAAACAGAAATCAAATGAGAGTGAGAAAAACAAATAGAAAACCAGCAAACTCTTATACTTGTTATAGATTTAAAGATTTTGAAGGGAAATCTTTGTAAAGATTTCCACTTCTAAAGATTTTGAAGGGAAAATAATCCATTCTTTCTCAATTGATGAACTACAATCTGAACATCAGATATGGTGTCTTTATTATTATTATTATTATTATTACTTATTACAACTATTATTACTACTAATAATTTGTCTTCGAGCATGGACTAAATGCTCACATATTCTGTATTTGCAGAGTGCCTTTCCTATGACCTCAATTCCCATTCCTTCTTTTTATGAGACAGATAAAAGTTCCTCTTATGAAAGGGCTTGGATGTAAAAAGGAAGAACATTTTGCCTTTTGCAACAGCATGGATGGACATGGAGAACATTATCCGAAGTGAAATAAGCCAGGCAGAGAAAGACCAGTACCATATGACTTCACTCATTTGTGGAATCTAATGAACAAACTGAACTAACAAGCAAAATAGAGACAGACTTATAGATAGAGACTAGGCAGCCAGCTCTGGCTGGGGTGGAGGTGGGGGTGTTGGGGGCGTGGAGGAATTGAGCCAAAAAAAAAAGGGAGAAAGAACTCATGGACATGGACCACAGTGTGGTGACTGCAGGAGGTAGTGGGGTGGGTGTGGAGGTTGAAGAGGGAATGGGGGATAAATGGTGATGGAAAAACAAAATAGAATAAAGAAAGGAAAAAAATAAAAAGCGCTTGGAAAACCAGCAGGTTATTAAACCTGTTTAATAAAGCAGAACCTCAAGCTGGGGCAAAGAGAATGTTCCTTTCTAGAAACAGGTAAAAGCACCTGAGCTCTCCTCCTTAAGCCACCGACTTGTTTAACAAAATCCAACGACTTTGCAATAGCAAAAGACCCAAAAGGAAAGTTGGGATGTTTACAATCTTAGGTCTTATCTAGATCACATTCCCATTGAAAAGAATCACAAATACATAAACATTTTGAAAACTGCTGGGGAAAACTGCCTACTTTAAGAAAAAAATAAATCTCTAACTGCTTGAAACCTTTTTTTTAACCATACTTTGTTGACCACTGTGCTGTACACCTGAAACTAATACAAAATAATATTGACTGTAAACTGTAATTAAAAAAAGAAATTAAACCAGACTTTGTGGAACTAATTGAAATTTTATGAATTGATCCCCCTGTTACTAAATATTCTTTTGAAACACTGCTTAGCAGATTTAATGTATTAAGTGGTTGACATATCATTCACTCCCACCTAAGTATGAATTAGTTTACTCAGTTCCTTTCCTTTTTACAAAGAAGATGGATTTATGGACTGTAGGTGAGAGTGGAGAGAGGGGATAAAAAGGGGTAATTATTAATCATGAGACTCTGATCTGGGGGAGATCTGGATGCTTAGGGTGACAAGGAGAAACATACCAGGTCGGCTATTAAACCCTCCATGGAGAGCCTTGTCCTCAGCATGCACAGAAGTAACCCTCCCTCCTTGACTCACCCTCCTATGCTCCTTCAACCTCACACAACTGGAGCACCCCAACTTTTTGCTTGGTTAAGAACTGTGGCTGCAGCTTCTAAGATGACTCCCAATGATTCCACCTCCTGATATTCTTAGGTTAAAAAAGACCCTGACTTATAATCTCTCTCCTCTCTCCCCTGCCTTCTTCTTCTCTCCATTTTTCAGAGAAAGCCAATTGCTGTGTTATGAGCTGCCCTATGGAGAGACTAATATAGCAAGGAATTCACAGAGGCCTCTTGCCAACAACTAGTGAGGAGCTAAGGCTCTTAGCCCAATGGTCCAAAAGAAACTGAATCTTGTCAACAACCACATGAGTGAGCTTAAAAGCAAATCCCCCCCTAGTTGAGCCTTGGGGCGATCACAGCCTTAGCTGAGATCTTGACTGTGGCCTTTTGAGAATCAGAGGCACCCAGCTTAGCCACACCTGGATAACCCACATGAACTGTGAGATAACTGTTTGCTGTGTTGAGCTGCACAGGTTTTTGTTACACAGCAACAGATAACTAATACAAGTGCACACACTTAAAAAAGTGTATGTCAGGTGTTCAGTGATATTTGAACCTGAGATTTCTTTTAAAAAATGGCTTTACATTGTAAAAGTTCTTCCTCTTAACTGATTCTCAGGGTTATTCTCGTGGACTAAGAAATACAATAGGATGACTTAACATCAAAATAGCCTCTTTGGAGTCAATCCAATCTCCAACTGAGTATGAAAACAGAAACTTTTAAAAAACAAATAATTTGGAGGGGTTCTATTTTTGATTCTATTAACTGAATTAACAAACATCTCTTAAAGAGGCTGTGACAGAAAAGTCATGAAAGAATCCCAAAATGTAGCTACCGCAAGCATCCTTCCTTCTCCCTTAAAACAACAAATTTTTAACGAAAGCCTCCCCCAAGTAAAAACAAAACATACATTTCAATATTTGGTTTTGTAAAACAACAAAAATTCAAGGTTTAAAGATATTGTTTCGATGCCACCTCTGGACGGGGCTGCCTATTTGAAAAGACCACCAGCCAGAATTGTCACGTGGTGGCTAACATGAACCAACCTGCACATTATTTTAAGGGCCAGAGGGAGCACATTTTTTCCAGGCTTTGCAAATAGTTTCCTAAAACAAATCTGCCAGCTAACAAAAGCACAGACCAGAAAATCTCCAATTTTTGCTGTTACTGAATCTGACTTTTGTTTGTCTTTTGGTTTGGGGCAGAGTCTTTACTAGTCTTCCACCCGTTAAAAAACCCCCAAAACCAGCCAATGAAGAAATCAGTACTATACAGTATAATGCTTGCTTGTTCATTCCTGATGTTTTTAATGTTGTTGGCTGCGTTGGAGGAGAAAGTATTGGAATTGGAGGAATCAGCAGGCTTACTAAGAATAAATTGTCCAGATGCCCCCCCACTACCTCTGGAAACATGTATCTGCTCTGGGTGCTTGGTGAGAGAGAAGGCTTGTCTGGGTTCTGGAGGTGGTTTCAAAATATTGTAGGGAGTGGGGTTGGGGAGAATTGTTAATCATTTTGCTTTTTCACAAAATAAGGACAGACCACTAACTTGTTTGTTTTCTACAAAAGTGGAGGCAGTCATTGATAAACTCCTTCGCCCATGGGCCAGGTGGTCATTAGAGTGAAAGAAAACCTGCCTGAGGAAAACGGATCATCTCCCTTCTCTCTTCCTCTCCTCAGTAAGAACATCCCATTCGTGTTATGAAAGAATTACAATAGCATCTAAATGTCTGGGATGGTGTGTCCATTGGCAGCATTCTGCTCAACATCGGTGAAATAAAAAGTTTTGCAACCAGGCACTGTAAAGGCCAATGGTGCAGCTCGAGCTGAGTCAGGCCGCGGAGCACAGGGCGCTTTCTGCAAAGGTGGGCTGAGGGGAGGCCAAGTTCTCGCCCTGACAGTAACGGGAGTGAACAGAAGGACAAGTAAGCTCGGAAGATCTGTATTAGAGGGGGAAAGGAATAGAATAAAATTAACTGAAGAAGAATCTCCATGTTCCTGCTCTGGGAGGCAAATTCACCCAACCCTGAGCTGGAACATGAGTCACAATTCTAAGGTGTCTGAGTTTGACTCCTTTTTTATTTTCTGAAAAGTGAGACACAGTATACGGTATATTTGTGCATGTCATTTTTGAGGACATTAACTGGTGCCTTGACAATATGGAAATGTAAATCTATTAATAAAATAAAGAAACTGGTCTGCTTCCTATCGTGAACCCATGGGGGGAATTTTTTTAAAAATATATCTTTATTGATTTCAGAAAGAGGAAGGAAGAGGGAGAGATAGAAATATCAATAATGTGAGAGTCATTGATCGGCTGCCTCCTGAATGCCCCCTTCTGGGGATCGAGCCCCAAACCCGGGCATGTCCCCTGACTGGGAATCGAACCCCGATCGCCTGGATCCTAGGCTGATGCTCAACTGTTGAGCCATGCCCGGTCGGGCATGGAGGGAATTTTGATGGAGAAAACACAGCCATGTCACCCCATCAAGCAAGTGGATTGAAACAAACGAAGCCACAGGGTTGGTTTTTAAAAACTATAACTCTGGGAAAAGCTGAGAAAGGATATTCTTATTGCTAAATGTATAATTTTAAACTTAGGCATGGAGATCTTGTAAAAGTCATTAAAATTAACCATTAAGTTCAGTTCCTCAACTTTTATCCTTATTAAACCATAATATTTATATTTCCACACTGTTACATGGATCTCAGTTTACATTTTGAAGGCTGTCGAACAAAGAACATAAATGAGGTGGAACTGCACAGTTTTAGAAGTTTTATAATCTTTCTGGGGTTTAGGCCAGTGGATAAATGAAATTCATTTTTAATTAAATTACCTTATTACATTGTCAAAACTCAGTCCTTCTCTGCTCATAGCTCTCTTTCACTTTGTGGTAAGGGGCTAGCCTGCGTTGGCTCCACCCAAGCCCACTTTTCCCCTGGGAAGCCAGTGACGGGTGGAGCAGCATCTAATATTTCACCCAGAGCATTCTGACTTCTGCTGAAAGGGGCCAAGGGCAGCCTGTCTGAGGCTTGAAACCACAGGACATCCATTAACAGAGAGTTGTTATAATAGTTATGCTTTAGAGATGGCCAAACACTTCAGGGATGAGTGGATGAATGCTGATCTTTGGGCTACCAATAAAGTACACAGAAAAGACAGAACTAAGCATAAAAAAGGTAAAATGTAGAAAAGATTTTTACCCCCCAAATGGCAAAAGAAATAAGAGGGGACCATTCCCC